CAAACCAAGTAAACTTACTGAATTTGCGAAATCTAATCAGGGTTTCTCTGATTTTGTTACGAGCATCGGAACTAAATGGCATTTCCGTGAATCAAATTGCAGTAAACGAATTTCATAAAAAAATTTATCAGATAATTATAAAGAGAGATCGGAGCTTACGACGGTACAATTGAATGGAATCGTGCTCAAGTTAGGATCTTTACGATAGTGTGAGAGAAAATTGTGTGCATAGGAATTTGGGATTTGATAATCAAGAAAATTTGATTCAGGATTCAAGTGCCATAATGTGAAATGTTTGGGGACTGAAGATGCAATGTGTTCTTCTAATCTTTCATTTACAGGGGCCTTCAAATTTTAAGGTCTAACAAATAGTCTCGGCCCGGCCCAAATATAGTAATTGTTTCCTATGGGCTATGGCTAACATATATATACCCACCAGCGATCATATAAGCAATATTGGATACCGTTTGTGGCAATTGATGATATTGTCTAGGGATGAAAAAATAGGATTTTGTTACTTGTACATAAAAAAATTATATATACATAATAGATTACATAATGTGATATGAAAGGGAAAGATTGGATGAAAATGTTGTCTGTATTTTAAACTGACAAATGGTAGAGCGTCATGTGACATTATGTAATTAATTATATAAATCTTGATATACATGTCAAAAAATTACTCCGCCCCATCTTGCCTGGCCCCACGTTACCCTGCATCGAATGCAACAGAACAAAAAGTAGTCTCCATTTCGATTATTTTTTCATTTTTTTTTTCAATCGTATTAAAAATATTTAGAGTACATAAATAAGGAAGCATGATTATACCCGAGAGTTTTTTTAATCCGTGTTTCATGTCGATTCTCAAAAATTCCTTTCGAGACGAGGATGGGAGTGGGACGGAAATGACCATATTTTTTATGCCGTATTACATTATGCACTACGGTTAGGATATGTGACCATGAATAATTTCTAAATTAATGAATTTAGTCAAGAATGTTTTTTTTTTTTTGGTTTATAAAATTACCGGAAGATGTTTATTCTATATTTCATTAATCTCTTCTCTTTCTTTCATTGTAATCCTCCAATTTTTTTCTGAACATAAATAAATCAAAAGAAATGTTTCCTTGAAAGAACTCTGTTTTTCTTCTACCGCCACGTTCGTCCCTCACCTTTAAGTGCAATTTTTTTATATAATTAATTATTCAAAATTGTGAAAATGTTATTATGGGCAATTTGTGTTGATTCGCCATGTAGAAGTATTTGACCATGGCACTAACAATGATTTCTTTTTGAAAAATCATGAACATTCAAAAGTGAGAATTATGACGGACGAGAAGTAAAATACGCTTAACTATGAAAATAGTGAAAGTCTTTGAAGTTGTTCAACTACGTCTCTATAATTCACTACAATGAATTCAAATCACAAAACATATAATACTTTAATGTATCATAAATTTATATAAAAAGTCAAATATTAATTGGATTCCCACAATTTAACGTAGTCAACATTCAAGACTCGTGGTCTATGCTTTTAGCTTTCATCAATTCTTTGGTCCTATAAAGAAGCCAAATAAGACCAACCCAATTCTTACTTTCCTTGTTTGAAATTCAGAGCTATCATTTTTCCAACATCAAATGCTGTCTTTAATTATTATTTTTCTCCTATATTTATTTCCGAAT